ACCCCCTGCTGTCATCTTTCCTTCACATGAAGAAAAATAGTTCAAAGAGGTCTTCTCTAAGCATACAGCTTTTCTTTGCAATCAAGAATCATTTTTTTTTTCAGAGTCCCAGAGTTTTCATCATCATATGTCCTCCACCTTGGCAAGATGTACATAGCATGTTCTTTGATCTCTTCAGGGTGATGTTAGAGAGAACTTCTCTATTGTTGTTCTTATATTTGGTCTTATCTTTCCAAATAACATGGCCAGTGTTCATGGTCACTCATCTTTGGGATGGAGGTTAAAACTTTTCTATCTTGCATAACTGGTGGATTTAGCAATTCTTCCCTATGAGATTATGTCTTTATTCTGCAAGTATAGATTGCTTATTTTAGTAATGTTGGATTGATTTGAACTTGTTGAGGGACTGGATTATATTTCTGTCCTATATTGAGCATAGGGCCTAAATACCTAAAGATACCAGATCCCATCTGATATTGAAAGCTAAGTAGGGTTAGTTCTACTTAGTATCTGGATGGGAGACTGCCAAAAAATACCAGTGCTATGAGCTATATTTCAGAAATAGGAACTGTGTGGAGTTGCATAGGGGAAGGAGGCCCACTTTTTCACCACTAACACATCTCTAGCACACAGATTATACCCCCCTTTCTTTTCCAAAATGGCAACAAGGGCATTTTACTTCTTGTTGCCATTTGGGGCAGAAACTGCACAGAAATAAACGTATTTGGGGTGGTTGGGGAGTTGGTAGTGCTCCCCCACCCTTTTTACATGCTTCAACTCATTGGGAGGTGTTTTTCTTCTTTAATTTGTCTTTCTGTGTGATATATTTATCTTGTAATGCAATACAAATTTTAATGAAATCCCATAACCTGCAGCACAATAGAGAGCTCTTTGAGATATTGAGATACATTATTACATGCTTAATCCAGTAGAGTGCAGCAGAGATCAAGAAATAATGATAATAATAATAAGGACAACCTGAATTATGTCCAGAAATATAGAACAGAAATAGGCTCACTAATTAAGTTATTTTCAGTTAGAAGCTTCTTCCTTTCCACTTCCATTTATCAATATGCAAGTTCCAGTATTACAGTTATAGCAGTTGTTTTCTTGGAATATAAGGATTTTCATTTAACAGCTGTCTTGAAAAAGTAAGAGACCCTTCATGTTTCACTATTTTTTAAGCCATCAAAGCAAAATCAGTCAAGAAAATATGCTCATAAGAGTAGAAAATACATATCCAATTTTAATTTTTCTTCAAAATGGTTGAGATAATTCAGAATGAAAATGACCTCATTACAATGGTTAACTTTGAGCTGGTGGATTATTTCACCTAACTTCAGGAAAACTAAGCATGCATATGTGTACATTTGTGCGCCTTCAAGCTGCCTATCAACTTATGGTGACCCTAGGAATTTCACAGGGTTTTTAAGGCAAGGAATACTCAGAGGTGGTCTTGCGAGATCCTTCCCCTGAAACCTACAGCACCCAGTATTTGTTGACTATCTCCCATCCAAGTACTGCCCAGGGCTGACCCTGTTTAGTTTCCAAGAACAGATGGGATCATTCTTGGGTCATTCATGCTAAACTTTATTAATTTTATATCAAACAATGAGGGGTGAATGGGGGCTGATCTTGGGCATACATATAGGCCTTAATCCCATGTAGTCTTATGTACAATGCACACTGAGATTAAGGACCAGCCTTGCCATTAACTTTAGTAATAATAAGGCAGAAGGCACCAAGGGCAGTGGCGCACTAGGGACAGTTGATCTGGTGCCCTTCATCCTCCCTAGCCAGGATCGATGCTACTCTAGAGGCTGAACTGCTCTGTTCATTTACCTAGAGCCAGGACATTCCTTGTTCAGAGCTCTTCCACTTCTCCAGAAAGATGACATAGAAAGTAGAGATAACTGCAACTACACCCCTCCACACACACACACACACACACACACACACACAAATCCCCATGGTTGTGAGAGTCTGCCTCTGCTGGTTCCCCATCACACTCATCCAACTCTTTTTCAGGTGGATGGGAACAGCCACAGTCATAGAATCACAAAATCTTAAGAGTTGAAGTGATCTGAAGGGCCATCCAAGTACAACCCCATTTTCTCATGCAGGAACACAGAATCAAAGCACCTCCTGTGAGAGATGGCCATTCAGCCTCTGTTTAAAAGCTTCAAAAGAAGGAGGCTCCACCACACTCTGAGGGAGTGTGTTCCACTGTGAAACAGCTCTCAATGTCAGGAAGTTCCTCTAATATTAAAGTGGAATCTCTTTTCCTGCAGCTTGCATCCATTGTTCTGGGTCCTGTTGTCTGAGGCAGCAGAAAACTAGCTAGCACCCTCCTCAATATGACACCCCTTCAAATATTTAAACAGGGGTATCATAACCAACATCATAACCTCTTAACCAACTGTTTTCAAGGCTAAACATACCCAGCCTCCTAAGTCACTCCTCATAGGGCATTGCAGACCCTTCACCATTTTTTTTAATTAAAACTTTATTATTTAAAAATAACAAATTCACACAAAGTCATAAAAACACAAATTTTCATAAACGTATGTATGATAGTTGGTAATATAATACAATTTTTGTCATTAAGGTTCAGCGTTAAACCCCATAATATCATTATTAAATCATAGTCATATCAGTATATTAACAATATGTATCAATATGTTAACTTCCTCTCTTAAAAGAGAAAGTTTAGTTAGAGATTCATTGTAAATTCCTACTTAATCTACTCAAGATCATCTTAATGTTCTTGATATGCTATAACCGTCGGTTTCATTTCTAATCCTGCTCCTTTTTCTTTTCATTACCTTTCCCCTA